TCATTTGGAACAGTTTTGTGGATATTGATGGATACATTCCTCAAACAAGGTAATGGCCTGATATTGTTCCTATAACTTTAATCTGTTTTAATTTTAATATTTGCATTTTGTTTTTTATTCATTTGTCGTAGCATTCAACAGAATCATTGTTTTCGCCGTGAAGTGTAATGATACAGACAACATACACTAGGGTGTGTGTGCGAATTATGATTCACATTGGCAAACTATAAAATGTCTAGATATTACAGTTCTGTTATAAATTCACTATAAGTATCAGCAGATCGTCTGCTGTATGATAATAAACTAATTAGGATTATAAGACCAAATATAAAGACGCACATTGACTAGTATCTACATACTGGTGAGTGGACATTAACCATGTGAATGTAGCAAGAAATTTATCGCGCAGTATTGTGACTTCGACCCCCCACCTCGCTTCCGTGGAAGAAATCGTTATGTTATAAGTTGTGTCATGCAAAATCCTTTTGGTTATGATTCCAATACATATTTAACTACGAGTAGAAAGTAGTTTTGATTTTCTAACTTGATGAAAACAAACTATAATCTCATTAATTCTAACAGACTTTACGATTTTCAAAAATGGCGGCGCCCTGTCGGGAACATCCGCCAGTCTGTGGATAAATGCTATTTAGGTTTGTTTTCACCGAGTTACAAAATCAAAACTACTTTCTACTGGTAGTAAAATATGTATTTTATTGATTGCCAATAGGATTTTGCATGACATAGCGTATAACATAACAATTTCTCTCCTGGCAGCGAGGTGGGTGTCAATATAATACTACTTACAATATTATTGTTACTTCGACCACAACCTCACTTCCGAGGAAGAAATTGTTATGTTACAAGTTGTGTTATGGAAAATCTTTATGGTCATCAATCATATACATATTTTACTATAACTAGTAAGTAGTTTTGATTCTTTAACTTCCGTGAAGCGATCTGAACACAACTTGTCAAGTAAGATATCGTTTCAGGCTTCCACAACGCTCGCTTCGCACTCACAAACATAACCCATTTAGCACGAACTGCGGGGTCCTGTGGAAATCTGTGCATGGTGACACCATCACCCGACCCCTAGGAGCAATTGACGACAAAGCAACGATTCGGCATGTCGTCGTTCATGTCGAGAAATCATCAAAATGATGAGCGTGCTACACACTTTCTATACAACTAACTGAAAATCGTTCCTCATATGACGTCACTGCAGTGCTCTGGCGACAGAGTTACGTAACCTGTCTGTGGTTTCGTTGGCGGGCGAGAGGGAAGCAGGCGACTTTTTGGCCACTTTTAATCGCTCGGTATTAATTAACCACAAGTTTTTAAAGAATAAATTTGGTGTTCCGCATAAGACTAACCACAAATCTTTCATATGTAATGGTTAAAAGAGTAACAAAAAACAAAGTTTAGTGGTTCTTTAAACGAGATGTGTACTCGGCCCGAAGTTTGTCTTGAATCTGGGCATTCTGGAGCTTGTCTGGAACTTGCATTCCAAGATAGGTGTAGGCCTGATCTTCCACAAGATGCTCAATAACTCCTCCCCCTTGTAACTTGACCGATCCATCATTAGTTACCTTTCCTCGTTTCAAATGAAGGGTATTACATTTGTAGAGTCCAAATGTCATGCCAATATCATTAGAAAAGGACTCGACAAGGAGAACCTGCTCTTTCAAATTGGAATCTCCTTTGGCAAGGAGCTCGATGTCATCCATGTAAAGGAGATGAGTAAGAGGTGTTGGGGATGTGTGCTGAGGAGGTCCGGGATGGTCACCCTCCTCTTTATTAAGCAGAAAGCTCAAGGGATTTATAGACAGACAAAAAAGCAAAGGACTAAAGGAATCCCCCAGAAATATTCCCCTTCTGATTGGAATAGATTCCGAAGTCTGCACCTGCCCCAGCGAGTACATCTCAAGTTGAGTCGACCAGCAACTCATTAAAGACTTGAGTAAATCAAGTAGTCGCTCAGGGAGGTCAATACAATGAAGAGACTTCAGAATCCATTCGTGAGGGACAGAGTCGTATGCTTTTTTGTAGTCAATCCAGCACATGGAGAGGTTGCGGTGATATGTTTTAGCCTCTTCCAAAATCATTTTCTGTACAAGAAGTTGATCCTTGCACCCCCAACATCCCTTAACAGCCCTAGAAATTGTCAGGTGGTACGTGACATCACAAGACGATGGAGACAGTGTAATGACAGGCTACAACATGGTGGCCAACTATATTGCAGAGAAGGAAATGAAGAGATGTTTTACAAAGAGACAATCCCTCATGGAAGCTTTTGTGGAGTAATAAGTTAGACTGTGAATGATTATGTTTGATTCTTATTACTTTGTATTATAAATGTATAACTTAATGTATGTCGACCCCATCTGCACCATCACAATGGCTCTTTCTCTCTCTTCAGCTGTTAATCGTGACATATTTCTCGTACTTGTGTATCATATCATGCGATTTAGGCTCTCTTCATACACTACAGAATCATTATACATGTGAAATGGATGCAAATACTGCTTGAATATTGACGCGTTTTGGCGACTGATATTGCTATGTGTAAACAAAATGTTACTTTGCATGCAAAAATGTTAACAAATATATATAGCGCTAAGAGAGCTTCGAAAATCTAGGCCCTGAAGTTTATTTCAACCTTTCTCTTGCACATCAAAATCACTGTTATTGGTTTATTTCGGCATGAACGAAAACACAACAATTTAACACTCCTGAAAAAGATGCATTTCACCTAAATATAAATGCATTTGGGAATTTGTTTTCGTGATTTGCATAAAGCTGTGTTATTAAGCTTTCTTTTAAGCTAATACCTTTCTGACATATCTTTGATTGTTTTTTAGTAATTCATAAAGGTAGGAGGGTAATGTTTCTTTTGGTGTTTAGTGTATGTCAAAATCTGAACGCATACGTTGGAAAACATATTTAAGCCATATCACGAGTGTCGTGTTTCTTGGATATAGATCATGTGAGTAGCGCTATGGTATGGTAAATATGGGTGTAGGTGTGTCTAAGTGGTTAAATCGTTGTTCGTCACTCCGAAGGCCCGGTTTCGATTCCTGATCTGGGTATAATGTGTGAAGGCCATTTCTTGTGTCCCCACAGTGATGTTGCTGGAATATTGCTGAAACGGCTTAGAACCCAACTCGCCCACTCACTATGAACAGTGTAGGATTTCCGTGAATTTGCGAATTACCTTAGAATGGTTTTCAGGCAGACAGGAAACATAGTTAAACTTGATATCTCAGAGTTTTTTCATTGCATGCTTGGCACTGACCTTCGCTACTTGAGACTAGTATTTTCATTGTATGCTTGACACTGATTTTCGGTACTTGAGACTAGTGTTTTCATTGTATGTTTGACACTGATTTTCGGTACTTGAGACTAGTGTTTTCATTGCATGCTTGACACTGATTTTCGGTACTTGAGACTAGTGTTTTCATGGTATGCTTGACCATGATCTTCGGTACTTGAGACTAGTGTTGTCATGGTATGCTTGACACTGATTTTCGGTACTTGAGACTAGTGTTGTCATTGTATGGTTGACACTGGTGTTCGGTACTTGAGACTAGTGTTTTTAATGGTATGCTTGACACTGATTTTCGGTACTTGAGACTAGTGTTGTCATTGAAGTTGACAACGTTGATGAAACCCACAGAATGTCTTGCTGACAAAAGTATGTGATTCTCTCCCGTGGATATTGTCAATTCTTACAACAAAATTATGCGTACAAACCAACAGAGCCTGGGCTCCGCACCGCTCCATCTGTGAAAATAAAAAATGACAAAATGAGGATCTTAAACGTGATTTATTTCTTCAAAGCACAAAACGTTTGGATATTCATTTGAAGACTTGACATAATGCCATTTCAGACCGTTCATACATGGTTTTCAAATTCAAATTGATATACCTCGATGTAAAGTACAGGGAAACGACATGAGTGATGACTATTACTTTGTGACATCATTCTGGTATTTTAGAAAATACAATAAAAAATATATACATGTAAGCACCAAACATAAAAATGAATGAAACAATATGTAAATGATACCGATCTTATTGGTAATATTATATTGATTAATCATAAGCATTATAAATATGACTAATCATATTAAAACATCAGTAACATAATGACGGAAGAAAAACTTTTATTATTATCATTTAATGTCAGAAAAATAGATTTCAGATGAGCATTATTAGTAAAAGTATTACAACATTGGAAAACCCAGCTGGTATGAAAACCAACAATCAGTTCCCTCTTTATATCTTTATGTATTTTATTGCATGGGTTTTGGAAGTATCTTAAGTGATAACTACAGTAATTGCCAACGTTATGGATTGACTACAACAGTGTATTTCTCAAACAAAAGGCATAGGATACACTTAAGCTTGGAGGTGAGGTGAAATTGGGTTTAACGTCGTCGCTTGAGAATATTTCGCTCATATGACGACGTGCATGCGTGTGTATGTGTATGTGCGGCTGCTCGTACTAGCCCAGACTGAAGCTGGTTTTATAGTGCTATCCCACTGAGATACCATGCCGCAGTGAAGCATGAATACCCCACTCAGACACATTATACTGACTCTGAGCCGACCAGTCCTCGATGTACCCATTAATGACGAGCGCCAGGCAGGGACCAACAAGTACCATATTTTAACGTCGTTTGGTATGACGCGGTCGGGGATCAAACCCGCGACCTACCGCTCTCCGGGCGGACGCTCTAACCACTACACCACGGAGGCTGTCTACTTAAGCTTGGAGGATTCGAACTAAACCAAACTGCTCTTTCTGTGTTCCAGTTCCCGGAACAAAGGGACAATAATTGACGCTAGCAGCGTCACAAGTTCAGTGACTGTTCATGTATGACAAAAAGTAGAGGCATATCTCTGGGTTTTTCTTATTTCAGTACATCTGGCCCATGTTTGATGTTATATATAGATATGAATATATGACACTTATAAGAATAGAACCTCCTTTGTCAAGTTAATGATGAGTTCATGTTTATATTTACAAGGTGAAAGTAATAAAGAAAGCCAACAATGAATTGACAAAGTCAGTGATACAGGATTAATGAACAATGATAGAAAATGAGATAGGGTCAATGTACAAAGATAACACTATAACGCCAAAGCCAGTGGGACAGGATAGTATGAATGTACAATGAACAAGTGCACTTTGATAGATGATATGATTACAGCAAGAGTACTATTGACTACATAGATACGTTGTGTACAATGTCATACAAAAATTCATGAAACATTGCGAAAATTATTATTTTTGTGAAGTTGTCAGAAAAAATTCATCTCAAAATATTGCTACAAGAATGTAACATAATGTACAAAATAAAATGGTTTGAGTCAATGGAACTCAGTATATCATCATCGCTATAACAGATGATGGCCATGACGGAAGTAATGTCCTTCATTCAGCCATACGTGTTGGTTCTCTGATTACATGTTAGCGTACATGCAGGTATCTCGCAGGTACTCCTTCACCAAGTCGTAGCAGAACTTGTACTGATCCTGGAAAAAACGACCATAAACTAACAAAGCATTTTGTGCTGTTGTTTCCTCAGATAAGTGAAACTGTAAAACATTCCCTGAATGGAATGTAACAACGATTTATCGTTTAAGCATTTATCTTTCATACTGATCGAAAGTAGAACTGAGAACACATTACATTAATCACTGAAAGAAGCGTGAATTCGAAACAGTTTCAGAATGTCAGGGGGACTAGTATCGTATGCAGAAAATGTTTTACCCGACGAAAGCTTTTGAATAATGTGCAATCTGAATAAAGATACGATGTGGTTCAAACACTAATTGTTTGGTTCTTCCCTCATAATTCAATATGTCCAATATGCGTTGACTAAGAGTTCCGAAGGTCACGACTTGAAATGAAATGGACGATGACATGAAATACAGCCAAGTCGTGCGCATGTTTCAAATTCTGAGCCAAACCTTAAAATACATAGGTCTCAGTTTAAAAACTATGCGTGTCGATCAGATAACCGTGGAATCTAAAATTTATGACCACTGACTGAAATTCTTCACCAATCCGCTCGAGGGCAGATTTTGAAAAGAGATATATGTTAATGCCATTTAAAACCTGGTTTGGTGTTTCTAGTATATGTATTATGGATGCCTGCCATACATATGTTTTACAGAAAACACAAAGAAAATATCTTAAAGAAGGATTCATACAGTTTGGGAGAATATAGAACTCCGGGTTGTTTTACATTCCTTAAACTGTGAAGGATGAGTGAGTGAGTGAGTGAGTGTGGTTTTACGCCGCTTTTAGCAATATTCCAGCAATACCACAGTGGGTGACACCAGAAATGGGTTTCGCACATTCTACCCATGTGGAGAATCGAACCCGGGTCTTCGGCGTGACGACGGAATGCTTTGACCACCAGGCTACCCCACCGCCCCTTGATTTCATACGACTTGACGAAGCAGTGAGCATTGGGTGCTTTTCTTCATTCTACTGTTCTGTCATTCCTGGATGAAGTATTTAATACTCACATACGACTGGATGAATTGGGGTCTGATACACTGAAGTTCTCGGATGGTCAGGTAGATGTCCACCTCTTTGTCCAGTCTCAGTCTGCTCATGATGTTGAGGACACTACAGAACACTCCACACAGTCGGGCACCGTCGCTGTGTTGGACGAGGAAACTTTAGATTAGCTTAAACATATTTTATTCACAAAGTTAAAAGGATAGGGGTCAAGCTCTTATAACTTATGTAGCCCCTCTCCCGGAATATCTACAGTAACACATTTCAGTGCACGTAATCGTTGGAAACAGAGGAAGACTGACATTTCAGGGGAAATATTACAGTACAAAATGTTTGCAGAAGGAAAACTATTGGAATCATTCTGATTTGCTTATATGCTGACGTACAGTTTTTAATATATTTTTATGATTTGTCCGATCTGCAATGACGTTAAGAGAACAGATAATGTAATCACTGAATTGCTATCACAGTTAACCTTTGAAACTAATGGTAGATGTGCAGAATTACAAGCATAACCTACCCCATCAACATCAGCATGCATAACGTGTCCAATTGCAAAATACTTTAGGCATCTTGTATGTATGTATCTTAGCTACTGTAGAGTGAGTGAGTTGAGTTTAACGTCGCATTCAGCAATATTCCAGCTATATGGCGGTGGTTTGTAAATAATCGAGTCTGGACCAGACAATCCAGTTATCAAACACATGAGCATCGATCTACGCAATTGGGAACCGATGACATATGTCAACCAAGTCAGCGAGCCTGACCACCCGATCCCATTAGTCGCCTCTTACGACAAGCATGGGTTACTGAAGATCAATATTCTAACCCGGACCTTCATTGGTTTATCTACTGTAGAACATATAACGTTCTATCTGTTATAGGGGCATATACAATACCATAGAAGTAGGTATAAGACTCTAAGAGCTGACAAATCTACTAACGGACACTGTGTTATTATGACACAAATAGTATGCGCGATGCTGAAAATGGTTCATCCGTCGTAATTAAAGTGCAACATACAGGCAGTGTACAAGAGTATTGTGTTCTTCAGAACTGCCTTTTCTTCCAATCTCATTCACAAACTCTAGCATCGGTTCTGTAGGCCCGGGGATCTGGGATCTCACTTTGAACACACGGATCTGGTGGAGTGTGTTATCCTGAAGATAAAGAAGATGATTAGTGGATAAAAGGGGCACGTAGCAAGACATTGGGACTGTTTTGTTGCTAACTCCTAATGCATGTCAACTGTAGAACTCCCTGAGGTGCATTTACAGCATATACTCTACTCACTTTAGTCCAAATATATACCCGTGAAGACCAGTGAAGATCCAAGTTAGAACTGGTCTTCAGGAACAAATGCTTGTCGTTAAAGGTGACAAACGGGATCGGGTGGTCAGACTCGCTGACTTACATGTCATCGAATCCCAATTGCGATCTTTTTTATAAACTGCTACCATATAGAAATGACCGTTATACATCAACTTTAACATCATTGGGGGAACACATATTTGGTGTGGATGTGCTACTTTTCAGTCTCGTAAAGTATATCGACACTATACAGAGTGTATTGTATAAATGTTTTAAGAATTGTAAACGTTTAATATTTAAAGATCTCAGAATCGGCCGCACAGCCGTAGGCAATATGTTCAGAATGATTGGTGTCCTAAAGTATCAGTTGGGTCAGGAACAACACCATGTTTAGTTGTGCAACCATACCTGTTCTCTGAGAGCCAGGTTAAGCTCCATCTCAGTGAAACTGTCTCGTGATGTGTCTTCCTTCAGTGTGGTGAGGCGGAACGGTCCTATGTTCAACGACTCATTCTTTCTTGGATATATGGCCTACGATGTGTAAGATAACGACATAACTCAGCAATTTCCATGATGCACTTGGAATGATAGCAATAACAACAATAATTACTCTCTGTGTTGGTGCTACGTACCCAGTCATATGAAATGCATCCTAACACGGCTCCTTACAAGCAATAGACACGTATTATTTCGTTACAAAGCTATTCCTCTCATTATACGTTTCTAACTGAACAAGACCCGTGAAGAAATGGTCTTCATGCTTGTTGTCAGAGGCGACTAACGGGATCGGGTGGTAAGGCTCACTGACTTGGTTGACACATGTCATCGTATGCCAAGTGCGTAGATCGATGCTCATGATATTGATAACTGGGTTGTCTGGTCCAGACTCGATTATTTACACACCACCGCCATATAGCTGGCATATTGCTGAGTGCGGCGTAAAACAACAAACAAGTGAACCAATACTATCATGACTTCATGAGCAACTTTTGTATTGGTCTTGGTAATACGGCATACTATAGTCCGTTTGGCTCAAAAGCGGACCGATGACTTGCAATCTAACTCGAAAACTAATAAACATAAAATACTCAATGAAACGCTGATCATAATCAAAACATCATACCCACTCTGTGATTTGTTTGCAGATTTTTTGTCCTAAAAATAAAAAAGTTGTTTAACAAACAATCATTAACATATTGACGCAGTTCACTATTTGTTACGAGGGAGGAGTGCAGAGAAAGGGACGGTGTTAGGGAAGCACGTGCACAAGTGCCCACAAAGTTATTGATTCATTAACCTGTGCTGTGCCGTCTCCATCCTTTCTCGAACACCTGGCTGTCCCTTTCTCTGCACTCCTCCCTCGTAACAAACAGTGAACTGTGTCAATTATTTTAACGATAGTTTGTTAAACAACTTTATTATTTTTAGGACAAAAATTCAGCAAAAACCTCACAGAGTGGGTATGATGTTTTGATTATGATCAGCGTTTCATTGAGTATGTTATGTTTATTAGTTTTCGAGTTAGATTGCAATTCATCGGTCCGCTTTTGAGCCAAACGGACTAAAGTATACTTACATGAGCCTAACACATGTATATGTGTGTTGTTGTAGTTCTTGTATTACCTACCTGATTCTCCCCCTCATCTTCCAGACAGACGATGGTGAAACAGTCATGGTCAAAGACCAACCTCCAGAAGTCTACAACAGTATCTTTTAGCGGGGTCTGGGTTGCTATCAAACCCAAGGGTTGTGTTGCCGACTGCAGGGAGAAAGATCATCCAAAAAGTGACTTTCATTTACTATCAGTCAGTCGATTAATCTCTCTTCATGGCAATAGCATGGTTATTGCCTACTGTGTACTGGCTACTCACATATGATATATAGAATATATAATGTATTTGTAATATATAATGATCCTCTTATCCCACGGGATAGTGGGGTGGCCGAGTGGTTAAAGCGTTCGCTAGTCATGCCGAAGACCCGGGTTCGATACCCACATGGGTACAATGTGTGAAGCACATTTTTGGTGTCCCCCGCTGGAATATTGCTAAAAGCGGCGTAAGACTCGCATATCCCTCCGGGTACCCATTCACTGCTGGGTGAAAATGCCTGAGATAAGACATGTTCACGTGTGCGTCGTTGTGGGACAGGATTGAATCACTCCTAGCTGCCAAATACGGTTACCCCTCCAAGGACTCTATGTGACCCAACGCTGCTTAACTTAAAGAGAAGGGGTGTACTTGACAGAGCCAGGAGATGTATCGGTCCCGCTCCAACTTAAGGAAAATGTGTGTGCCTGGCAGTGTAAGGAAATGTATGGATCCCCCACCAATTTAAGGGGAAGGTGTGTACTTGGCAGTGTTACGAGATGAATGGATCCTGCACCAACTTAAGGAGAAGGTGTGTACTTGGCAGTGTTACGAGATGTATGGATCCCGCTCCAACTTAAGGAGAAGATGTTTCTTGACAGGGCTAGGAGATGTATGGATCCTACACCAACTTAAGGAGAAGGTGTATACTTGATAGTGTTAGGAGATGTATATATATGGATCCCACACCAACTTAAGGAGAATGTGTGTACTTGACAGGGTTAGGAGATGTATGGATCCCGCTCCAACTTAAGGAGAAGGTGTGTACTTGGCAGTGTTACGAGATGTATGTATCCCACACCAACTTAAGGACAAGGTGTGTACTTGGCAGTGTTACGAGATGTATGGATCCCACACCAACTTAAGGACAAGGTGTGTACTTGGCAGTGTTACGAGATGAATGGATCCTGCACCAACTTAAGGAGAAGGTGTGTACTTGGCAGTGTTACGAGATGTATGGATCCCGCTCCAACTTAAGGAGAAGATGTTTCTTGACAGGGCTAGGAGATGTATGGATCCTACACCAACTTAAGGAGAAGGTGTATACTTGATAGTGTTAGGAGATGTATATATATGGATCCCACACCAACTTAAGGAGAATGTGTGTACTTGACAGGGTTAGGAGATGTATGGATCCCGCTCCAACTTAAGGAGAAGGTGTGTACTTGGCAGTGTTACGAGATGTATGTATCCCACACCAACTTAAGGACAAGGTGTGTACTTGGCAGTGTTACGAGATGTATGGATCCCACACCAACTTAAGGACAAGGTGTGTACTTGGCAGTGTTACGAGATGTATGGATCCCACACCAACTTAAGGAGAAGGTGTATACTTGATAGTGTTAGGAGATGTATATATATGGATCCCACACCAACTTAAGGAGAAGGTGTGTACTTGGCAGTGTTACGAGATGTATGGATCCCGCTCCAACTTAAGGAGAAGGTGTGTACTTGACAGGGCTAGGAGATGTATGGATCCCGCTCCAACTTAAGGAGAAGGTGTGTACTTGACAGGGCTAGGAGATGTATGGATCCCGCTCCAACTTAAGGAGAAGGTGTGTACTTGGCAGTGTTACGAGATGTATGGATCCCACACCAACTTAAGGAGAAGGTGTGTACTTGGCAGTGTTACGAGATGTATGGATTCCACACCAACTTAAGGAGAAGGTGTGTACTTGGCAGTGTTACGAGATGTATGGATCCCGCTCCAACTTAAGGAGAAGATGTTTCTTGACAGGGCTAGGAGATGTATGGATCCTACACCAACTTAAGGAGAAGGTGTGTACCTGGCAATGTTACGAGATGTATGGATCCCACACCAACTTAAGGAGAAGGTGTTTCTTGACAGGGCTAGGAGATGTATGGATCCTGCACCAACTTAAGGAGAAGGTGTGTACTTGGCAGTGTTACGAGATGTATGGATCCCACACCAACTTAAGGAGAAGGTGTGTACCTGGCAATGTTACGAGATGTATGGATCCCACACCAACTTAAGGAGAAGGTGTTTCTTGACAGGGCTAGGAGATGTATGGATCCTGCACCAACTTAAGGAGAAGGTGTATACTTGACTGTGGTAGGAGATGTATGGATCCCACACCAACTTAAGGAGAAGGTGTTTCTTGACAGGGCTAGGAGATGCATGGCTCCCGCTCCAACCTAAGGAGAAGGTGTTCACTTGGCAGTGCTAGGAGATGTATGGATCCCACACCAACTTAAGGAGAAAGTGTGTACACGTTCAGACAATCAACAGAAGAGCCAAGATACCGGATGCCGGTTTAGAGAGCGTTAATTACTGTACAAACAGTCAAGTGGGCGGTCTTTGTTGTGCCGAAATACGGAATAGATTTCCGCCAGATTAGAGGGCGTGTATATGATCATAAATTAACTAGCTCTGACGGGACCAAATTCTTGTACCGGTATTGAGAGCCGGTTTAGAGGGATTCCACTGTATTTGACAGTGTTAGGAGATGTATGGGTCCTGCACCAGATTGTTAATATGGAAGTTGTGTTTAGGCACATATCAGTTGAGACCTTTTGAATACTTCAAAGGTTCAAGGCACTTACATAAATAAACTTCCACTATCCTGGCTGAATTGGTCGTATACATACTTTTTTTTTCATAATCATTTGCATTAAGGAATCTCTGTGATACCTATTGGTTAACAACTTCCAAAGATTCGTCAAGTGTATGTCATGGGACCTACACTTGGATCTGTGTTTGTCATATCGTATGTCATTTTTCTCATAACATATCGTACGTCATTTTGCTCATAACATATCGTACGGCATATTTCTCATAACATATCGTACGGCATATTTCTCATGACATATCGTACCTTATTTTTCTCATGACATATCGTACGGCATATTTCTCATAACATATCGTACGTCATTTGTCTCATAACATATCGTACGTCATTTTTCTCATAACATATCGTACGTCATTTTTCTCATAACATATCGTACGGCATATTTCTCTTAACATATCGAACGTCATTTTTCTCATAACATATCGAACGTAATTTCTCTTATGCCATATCGTACTTTACTGTTATCATAACATATCCTACGTCGTTTTTCTCATGACACATCGTATGTCATTTTTCTCATAACATATCGTACGTCGCTTTGATCATAACATATCGTACGTAATTTCTCTCATACCATATCGTACTTTATTGTTATCATAACATATCGTAATTTTACTGTTCTCATAACATATCGTACGTAGTTTCTCTCTTACCATATCGTACTTTACTCTTATCATAACATATCCTACGTCGCTTTGATCATAACATATCGTACGTCGCATTGATCATAACATATCGTACGTAATTTCTCTCATACCATATCGTACTTTACTGTTATCATAACATATCCTGTGTCGTTTTTCTCATAACATATCGTACGTCATTTTTCTCATAACATATCGTACGTTATTTCTCTCATACCATATCGTACTTTACTGTTATCATAACATATCCTGTGTCGTTTTTCTCATACTGTTATCATACGTCGTTTTTATAACAACATATCCTGTGTCGTTTTTCTCATAACATATCGTACGTCATTTTCTCATAACATAACATATCGTACGTCATTTCTCCCATACCATATCGTACTTTACTGTTATCATAACATATCGAACGTCATTTTTCCCATAACATATCGTACGTAATTTCTCTCATACCATATCTTACTTTACTGTTATCATAACATATCCTACGTCATTTTTCTCATAACATATCGTACGTTATTTCTCTCATACCATATCGTACTTTACTGTTATCATAACATATCCTGTGTCGTTTTTCTCATAACATATCGTACGTCATTTTTCTCATAACATATCGTACGTTATTTCTCTCATACCATATCGTACTTTACTGTTATCATAACATATCCTGTGTCGTCATTTTTTTTTCTCATAACATATCGTACGTTATCATCATTTTTCTCATAACATATCGTCATTTTCTCATAACACTACTTTACTGTTATCATAACATATCCTACGTCGTTTTGATCATAACATATCTTACGTAATTTCTCTCATACCATATCGTACTTTACTGTTATCATAACATATCCTACGTCGTTTTGATCATAACATATCTTACGTAATTTCTCTCATACCATATCGTACTTTACTGTTATCATAACATATCGAACGTCGTTTTTCTCATAACATATCGTACGTCATTTTTCTCATAACATATCATACGTCATTTCTCTCATACCATATCGTACTTTACTGTTATCATAACATATCCTACGTCGTTTTGATCATAACATATCTTACGTAATTTCTCTCATACCATATCGTACTTTACTGTTATCATAACATATCGAACGTCGTTTTTCTCATAACATATCGTACGTCATTTTTCTCATAACATATCGTACGTTATTTCTCTCATACCATATCGTACTTTACTGTTATCATAACATATCCTACGTCGTTTTGATCATAACATATCTTACGTAATTTCTCTCATACCATATCGTACTTTACTGTTATCATAACATATCGAACGTCGTTTTTCTCATAACATATCGTACGTCATTTTTCTCATAACATATCGTACGTCATTTCTCTCATACCATATCGTACTTTACTGTTATCATAACATATCCTACGTCGTTTTGATCATAACATATCTTACGTAATTTCTCTAATACCATATCGTACTTTACTGTTATCATAACATATCGAACGTCGTTTTTCTCATAACAAATCGTACGTCATTTTTCTCATAACATATCGTATGTAATTTCTCTCATAACATATCTTACTTGACTGTTATAACATATCCTATGTCGCTTTGATCATAACATATCGTAGGCAATTTCTATGATACATATCGAACTTTACTGTTATCATAACATATCGTACGTTGCTTTGATCATAACATATCGTACGTAATTTCTCTCATACCATATCGTACTTTATTGTTATCATAACATATCGTACGGCATTTTCCTCATAACATATCGTACGTAGTTTCTCTCTTACCATATCGTACTTTACTCTTATCATAACATATCCTACGTCGCTTTGATCATAACATATCGTACGTCGCATTGATCATAACATATCGTACGTCGCTTTGATCATAACTGTTATCATAACATACGTCGTTTTTCTCATAACATATCGTCATCATAACATATCGTACGTCATTTCTCTCATACCATATCGTACTTTACTGTTATCATAACATATCCTGTGTCGTTTTTCTCATAACATATCGTACGTCATTTTTCTCATAACATATCGTACGTCATTTCTCTCATACGATATCGTACTTTACTGTTATCATAACATATCGAACGTCATTTTTCGCATAACATATCGTACGTAATTTCTCTCATACCATATCTTACTTTACTGTTATCATAACATATCCTACGTCATTTTTCTCATAACATATCGTACGTTATTTCTCTCATACCATATCGTACTTTACTGTTATCATAACATATCCTGTGTCGTTTTTCTCATAACATATCGTACGTCATTTTTCTCATAACATATCGTACTTTACTGTTATCATAACATATCCTACGTCGTTTTGATCAAAACATATCTTACGTAATTTCCCTCATACCATATCGTACTTTACTGTTATCATAACATATCGTACGTCATTTTTCTCATAACATATCGTACGTTATTTCTCTCATACCATATCGTACTTTACTGTTATCATAACATATCCTACGTCGTTTTGATCATAACATATCGAACGTAATTTCTCTCATACCATATCGTACTTTACTGTTATCATAACATATCGAACGTCGTTTTTCTCATAACATATCGTACGTCATTTTTCTCATAACATATCGTACGTCATTTCTCTCATACCATATCGTACTTTACTGTTATCATAACATATCCTACGTCGTTTTGATCATAACATATCTTACGTAATTTCTCTCATACCATATCGTACTTTACTGTTATCATAACATATCGAACGTCGTTTTTCTCATAACATATCGTACGTCATTTTTCTCATAACATATCGTACGTAATTTCTCTCATAACATATCTTACTTGACTGTTATAACATATCCTATGTCGCTTTGATCATAACATATCGTAGGCAATTTCTATGATACATATCGAACTTTACTGTTATCATAACATATCGTACGTCGTTTTTCTCATAACATATCGTACGAAATTTCTCTCATATCATATCGTACTTTATTGTTATCATAACATATCCTACGTTGTTTTGATCATAACATATCGTAGGAAATTTTTATCATAAAATATCGTACTTTATTGTTATCATAAAAAATATCGTACGTTGTTTTTATCATAACATATCGTACGTCTTTTTTTGTCATTAACAAATACAGTCGACGTACTTACTGGAAGTATAACGGCGTTGATGTAATCGTTGTGGTCTGCGACAGGAGTTGAGAGAAAAGGCCGACCTCTGTTGGCTGGAAGCACATGATGGATGTAAATACCTACACAACACGTGTAAATAACATTCAATTGATCCGTGGATTATTCCTTCAGCACGGGGTCGGTAAAAGCGTCTGCTCGTCCTGTAGAAAACCCGGGTTCGATTCCCCACATGGGTACAATGTGTGAAGCCCATTGCTGGTGTTCCCTGTGGTGATGTTGCAGGAATATTGCTAAAAGCAGCGTAAAACTAAACTCACTCACTCCTTTACCACCACGGCTTTTATTTATATTATGCATCTGTGTCGGCTGGAGTGGGAGATTTTATGACACTATAATCATAAACCTTTAAACTGAACAGATACAAAGGAAAATGAAGAAAATCGTGCTATCAACTTGGCTGACAATGCGAAATCGAATACAAACCGGGGACAATATTCTTGTTTCTGTTTTTGCCAACATTTGCTGGAAGATAAGCATCAGATACCAGCTTCTCTGGGATCTCCATCTTCACGGATTCAAGAGACTGAAAGCAATAAATGAACACATCACCACGTCACTTCAGCATATACAGGAATACATTATTACAATACATGCGGTGTACAGAATCGTTAATACAGACATAACAATACATCACTTGTTTTTTTATCGATGTAAAACTTTTAGAGGTAGGGCGTCTTCAGGGTGAAAAGCATTTACTCGGTCGACGGAGTTATGTCCATTTGAACGCAATCAATACCGACTGCAACACACCTGATAGGAATATGCTGCTGAGACGTCCAGACACATAACAATAGCACCATTTCTATCTCTGTATGATTGAATGAGTCTGTTTTATGCTCGTTAAAGCCGCCACTAATTACTAAATAATTCAAAAACAACTGCACGAGGCCACAAGAATCAATAAATAGTTCAATATTCTCACGGTAGTAAAACTGATATTCCGCACCTGAAACTGTCTGTTCATCTCTATGTCCTGTTGTCTGGAGTATTTCAGACCGGTACCAAACTTTCCCTCGAAGTCGGACAAGGTGAAGAAAGTTCCCCGACTGTCGATGGCTTCCATGACAGACTCATGCACAAAACGGTACTGTTCCTGTAACCACGAGTGAGTGAGTGAGTGAGTATGGTTTTACGCCGCTTTTAGCAATATTCCAAGAATATCACGGCGGGGGACACCAGAAATGGGCTTCACACATTGCACCCATGTGGGGAATCGAACCCCGGTCATCGGCGTGACGAGCCAACGCTTTAACCACCAGGCTACCCCAACGCCCCCTGTAACCACGAAGTCTGTTTTCATTACAGACAACTTCAAGTGTAGCTATATGCATTCAGTCCATGTACAACAGTTAGTAGATTCCAGTTCTACAGATCAATAATGAAATAATTTATCCGAGACATAATCTGATAAAATTTCAAATATTCTGCCAAACTCTGTTCATTTACATTTTTTAAGCATCCAAGGTATTGTTTTCTCCGCGAATGAATATGCCAAATGGGAGTCGACAGGGTGCGTGTGTTGATGCACACAGCAATGGAAAATATGTATAGCTATGCACGAGATATACTTCCAATCAAAAGTTTAGACTCACTATTGTAAATACAGCCACTTCAGGCAACTGTTGTAAACTAAATTTTGCAAAATATTCCATACTGTTTAAAGGTACTGTTTACACATGAACTGATGTATTGTAAATCAAATCCATAACGTTGAAACGATTATTGTCATGAGTTCAATTATTGTCATGAGTTCAATAAATGAAAAACTAAGTGAAAATTGGCGAATTCTTAACATAACTTTACACCAAAACGCAGCTGTTCCCATGCACGATATCTGCACATGCTTTTGGGCAACTCAGTGCATGATCCTCGTGCAATCCATCTGCATAAAGTTTACAGTTGGTTCCCCCAAGTTAGTGGAGAGATCAATCTTCGTTGTAACTATATATATATATATATATATATATACATATATATATATATATACATAACATACAGTGAGTGTTTTAAGTGAGTCTAAACTTTTGATGGGAAGTATATACGCAACTTTTCCACAAGCTTGATGTTACTTTTGACGCATGTATATGATTATACGCCGCTTGTAGCAATATTCCAGCAATATCCAAGCGGGGGACACCAGAAATGGGCTTCACACATTGTACCCATGTGGGGAATCGAACCCGGGTCGTGACGATCGAACCAGTAGGCTACCCCGCCGCCCATTATTTCTAAAGAGGGTAACAGAAATGTGGAAATGATCAACATAAACCGGCTCGGTCAATACCGATTAAATATATGACTCGTTTGATATTTCCCAAATTAAATAAACACGTGTGATGAATTCTTTATATCAGACATCACGGATATTTATATTCCCACTAGTGATGAGCTATACAGGATTTCAATGGAAATCTATGGGAATGGTTTGAAACTTCTCCGTCCGGGACCGGAAGCGCAGGGTCCGGCTAAGCGAGTACAATTACTGAAGGTAAGTTTCGGTCCACCTAAAAATCGTCCCGGTTACCGGATATACGGGGTCCGAGTAAACGGGGTTTGACTGTATATATAACTATAATAAGCACGAAGATTTCTCGTCAACATTAAAGGTGTGTACCCACCACAGTCTGCACCATGTTCACCCTGGCTTCCCTCAACTTGGACACACATGCGAACACGTTCACTTTGTTCAGAGACTCGGCTTCATCAAAGAGGTTGTCCAGAGCAATGAACGTTCCCGTCCGGCCAACGCCAGCACTATAAGCACAGGGGACGTACACTAGGTTACAGTTGAATCATTTCTGTACAATATCGGTACATTTACTTATTTGTGACTGTGTTATGTAACATTCGACACACATGCACCAACAATGCAGTCCAGAGACGAGTAGCTTTGAATCATTTTCGTCATTTCTTGCTTGTGTGTGTTATTATTGAAATGGATAGGCCATATGACAATTGTTCGTTTTATTTTTTAACTGGATAGTCTATATGACATTGTTCGTGTTATTAATTGGAATGGATAGGCCATATGACATTGTTCGTGTTATTTTTTAACTGGATAGTCTATATGACAATTGTTCGTGTTATGATTGAAATGGATATGCCATATAACATTGTTCGTGTTATTTTTTAACTGGATAGTCTGTATGACAATTGTTCGTGTTATTATTGGAATGGAAATGCCATATAACATTGTTCGAGTTATTTTTTAACTGGATAGTCTATATGACAATTGTCCGTGTTATTATTGAAATGGATAGGCCATATAACATTGTTCGTGTTATCTTTTAACTGGATAGTCTATATGACAATTGTTCGTGTTATTATTGAAATGGATATGCCATATGACATTGTTCGTGTTATTATTGAAATGGATATGCCATATGACAATTGTTCGTGTTATTATTGAAATGGATATGCCATATGACATTGTTCGTGTTATTATTGAAATGGATATGCCATATAACATTGTTCGTGTTATTATTGGAATGGATATGTCATATGACAATTGTTCGTGTTATTATTGAAATGGATATGCCATATAACATTGTTCGTGTTATTTCGTAACTGGATAGTCTATATGACGTGTTATTATTGAAATGGATATGCCATATGTTCGTGTTATATGACATTGTTCGTGTTATTATTGGAATGGATATGCCATATGACAATTGTTCGTGTTATTATTGGAATGGATATGCCATATAACATTGTTCGTGTTATTATTGGAATGGATATGTCATATGACAATGTTCGTGTTATTATTGGAATGGATATGCCATATGACATTGTTCGTGTTATTATTGGAATGGATATGCCATATGACATTGTTCGTGTTATTATTTGAATGGATATGCCATATGAAATTGTTCGTGTTATTATTGGAATGGATATGCCATATGACAATTGTTAGTGTTATTATTGGAATGGATATGCCATATGGCAACGTTCGTGTTATTATTGGAATGGATATGCCATATGACATTGTTCGTGTTATTATTGGAATGGATATGCCATATGACAATTGTTCCAAATGTTATATTTGGTGTAGGGCTAAAACCCGAGTAAAAACAAACTAACGCTTTCGTTGTGTATCTCCACCATCTCCCACTCCCCATATACTCAGAGTGTATTATAATTTATAGTATCATACATATTTAAAGATGTATTTATCCCGTAACATATGTTTTATTTGGGATTACACTTTCTAAGTAAAGTACAGATGCTAGTACTTGTGTTGGGTTGAGTCCCATCCGGGATTCGAACCTACACCCTCAGAGTCAGACACCTAACCCGCTCATCCACCGCGGCTTCCATTGTTCGTGTGATTATTGAAATGGATATGCTATATGACAATTGCTTCTTGCGTCGCCTACTCAACGCCTGTGTGTGTGTGTGTGCGTGCGTGCGTGCGTGCGTGCGTACGTGTGTCTGTATGTGTTTGTTGCTCAACGGAAATGCAAAACCAAGAAGTGTGAACTACCCACCTGCAGTGGATTACCACAGGTCCAGTAATATCCTCCTCTGATGACGTCAGACTCCTGTACTGCTTCCAGAAGCCAACCAGAGCCGGTGCTGATGGAACATCATGGTCAGGCCAAGACGTGAAGTGGAGCTGGGTCACTGTCCTCTTGTCTGAGGGCTGTAAGTGAAGGTATTTAACATGCATTACTTTGGCAGATAGATATGTTATTTATATATAGTACTTATGACAATACACACAAGAGCATACTGTACTGCACATCAACAAAAACAGCGAAATGAATTGAATCAAATCTCTATGTTTCCTTTCACCTATGTGGGTCAGAGAAGCATGATTTGTAATGTAAGTAGGTTGACGACTTATAGTACCACTGATCCATTGTCGCTAAAACCCAGCAAAGGCAAAATGCAGATACTTAACGAGGAAAATCACAGTGTCATGCCAACCGCCATTCCTACATGTAGCCGATAAAGTCATTCAAATTTACCGTCTTGGAGTGCTGAACCAGGAATTTCCTGATGGTGAAATCCGCCCTGACAGTTGATAGGAGTGGCTTGATAACAATGTTTCCACACTTCTTATCCCTCGTGCCATCTGGCCAGTACTGCTCACACTTTTTCTATTAACAAACCCAATGATACATTAATGATATATATAGACAGTAAAAGAAGTTTATTGTAATTTAGGCCTCCGGCCCAGACACTGATTAAACAAAATGTACAGTAACTTACTCGATTTGGCGTTACATGCAGTATTACATCAATTTCAATGTACAATATTTGTTGTTTTTTTAAACATTATATCAACAGAAATATGCATAATTCCATTATTCATTCTGAAAGGCCATAATACACGTTCTGCCACTTATGAAGCATTTAAAGCAAAAATAGCGATAATATTCTGAACCTCTAAATGACTATGTAACGTTCTGTGATGGACGTCAATCAATAACTGTGAAACCTGATACAATATCCAGAAACACCTTTTTAAATTTGATTTATATCGTATGCAACTAGGTATAGTGAACCGTTAAACAATGTGTATTATTACATTCTGGCGTAAACAGGCATCAAAACATAATTATGTAAATACACAAAGAAATTGTGTTCTCAAGGCTGTTTGTATAGCCTTTGGATGGACGGTTAATGTTCAGTTATTAGCAGACAAGTAGTGTTCAACAGACTTACCCTGTTCACTTCCATTACTCTGGTCAGCATGACGATCTGTGACACGTTTTCTTGCCATATCATTCTCCAGAAGTCATTCACGGTTACACTATTTGGACCTGGAATATATAAAGTGTTTACACATGCCAAATTTAATGCACAATGGAATCCACTTATATTTCTATTTCTTCACACCAAACACAAAAGTGTGAATGAGGGGTATGGTTTTATGCCGCCTTTTAGCCATATTCAAGCAATATTACGGCGGGGGACACCAGAAAGATGCTTCGCAGACACCTGCATAGATATGACGTAACGGTGTTTTAGTGTTATCCATATTTCAAAAAACATATTGCATTCCTAAGCAACATACCGGTGATTTCAAGGTAAAAAAGAAATCACTCTGTAAAACATACCTTGAGCAGCTATGAAAACCTTTTCTTCGTGGAAGCCCTGGAAGAAATGAATATATATTAATAATTTAACAATTTAACTTGTGGTATGACCTTAATTCCCAAATTAAGGTGCGCTACACGTCAGCATAAAAAAGATATATATTTCCAGTGTTTCTTGCTGAATATATGTCCTAATTTTGACAACACATGTCATGTAGATATTATAGGTAGATGACGGTACAGGTTTTCCAACTCGCTTTTCATTCAAATAGTAACTAAGGCCATGAAAGACATTACAAATGAGTGAGTAAGTTAAAATGCATAGTCACATCGGCAATATTTCTGCAATATCGTGACTTAAACAAGTCATATATTGATAATAAATAACGTTACATTAGAAATTCTATCGACAAACTACAGTAAGATCATTACATTATCACAGACAGATAATTAAAACTAACTAGAGATCACAACACAAGGGACCATGGCGACCTAGTTTTGCTACCTGCATGGAGCCTAGCTGGATTTACATTATTCCTTCTGGTGTTGGTGTGTTTTTGCACAAATTCGCCGAAATAAATTAAGAAGTCTTAATTTTAAAAAAAGTCACAACCACTGCAAGTTTTTACAAACGGGTTTGTAGTCGCCTGTATATATGCATGTTCGAAAACACACATCTATAGTCCCTATAGTCTTTCATTAATCACCACATTGTAGGGAGCAGCAGCTGACCTGGACATAGCTGGCGTGGATGTAGTCGCAAGTAGCGTCTCCATCAGGGGCCAGGACAACGCGGCTCTCATCATCTGCAACACAAGTACCAGATACTTCAGAAAAGTGAGAAGCATGACGTAGGCACGTGTTGCCACAAGTACCGTGCTGACAAACAAACATTAATTATATATAACTGTCCGAACATATTTTCACTCTCACCCAACTACAAGCGATAGCTAAGGGGCGCAACTCTGTACAACACAGCAACAATGAATTTTTTCCATCTCACCGTCTTATTTTGAAAAATATAAACGGTATACAAACACAGTATAAAGAATATCCACATAGCACACTACTTACATGGAAACAGAGCCAGGAATCTGTTTCTCTTCTTATTTTCAGGTTTCAGACCCTCCTTGTGCTCTTTAGCCAGTCCATGACGTAGCAGCTTGGTAAAAGATGCAGTACAATTACAACGGAAAATAATACATAGATTTTATTCCATGCAAAATATATGCAGCTATGAAGCCAATGTGATCACTCTTCATCACTACCTAATGACATCGAAATATGAATATTGTTCTAGCAAACAATGCAACCTTGTGGCGGGGATGCCAGAAAAGGGATTCACACATTATACCTGTACGGAATAAACCCAGGTCTGGCCGGCTGACTCTTTAACCACTTGGTTATCGCGAATACTCGAAACATCTGAAATACGCCTAGTCGTCTTTCTTATGGTTTATCAAAGACAACGCCAATCTCTCTCATAGTATTTGAGTGTGTAAGTGATTATTGTTTTGCGACGCTTTTGGGAATATCCTATCCAGAAAAGGACATTGTACTCATGTAGGGAATCGAACTCGTGCCTTTAAACTTTCGGCACCCCTACAATCCCCGGCAGCAATTGTCTTCAGAACACAGGTAATAATTGTGTTACATTTGAATTTGCAAATGAACACAAATTTTGTCATACCTTATAGAAATTATCCTTACCTTGTACTCTTGTTCGAATCCCGCACCTCCCACTCTTTGTCCGATGTACTGTCTGAGTCTCTCCAGGGGTACGGGGGTTGGGGAGACGTTATATAATGTGTCCGAGTTCTCGTACACGTGGTTTGCAGGGGATCTTGGTTTCTTTGATGGCTTAACCGGCTTCGCTGATTTGGAGGATGGGGATGCTGTCCTGTCGCCTAAAACACATGGCATCATCATATTTTAAAACACATGCGTTCATTGCAATATGATTACCAACTGACATTGACTCTTACCACGAAGTATCCATGAGACACCAATACACATACTCAACTTAACGATTTGAATGAGTAATTTTGTTTTGATTCTATTTACTTATATAATGTTGTGCATTTTTAAGAGTATTTAACGTCACATCGGCAATTTTTCAGCCATATCGTGACGAGAACAATTAATAATTATATTGTAGATCAATGAAATTAAAAGTCTGTTAACGAAGAACAGTAAACCTACAAGTGTATCACAGATATCCATTTAAAACTATTGATGAAATCTAAAACATGTTAACTAGAAATGACAAGACAATGTAAAAACAGGCCATAAATTGCCAACAACTGAAGGTAGATCACCATACTAGGGACCGTGGGGACTTACAGTACATTTGCTTCCTGCATGGAGCATTTTTAAGAAAGAATTATTACAGCCAAGTCACGACACCAACATATTGACCAAAATACCTTGAAACCAGAGTAACGATCAAACGCTCTAAATATTATTTAATTGCCAAAAGGATGTTCTAAAAGAGGAATGAAAACAGAGATTACAAAATAACTTACTGGACACGGCACTGAAGGAACTCTCAGTTGTATCTTCCTCTGGTTGGTCTTCCGTGTGGGATTTCTGTAAACTCCGTCTTCTGAGAGTTGTAAAAAAGTGTGATCGCAAGAAAGTTAAAGAAAATTAATATTTGATCAGTTTTGTACATTGAATGAAATAGTTGAAATTAAAGTTCACATAGAAGTTTTTTATTGTTGTTTGTTTGTTTGTTTGCTGTTTAACGCCTCAATACCCAGCAATATTCAAGCTATATGGAGGCGGTGTGTAAAATGACAGACACATAGTAGGACCTATGATAAGATCATTGTTAACGCCGCAATACCCAGCAATATTCAAGCTATATGGAGGCGGTGTGTAAAATGACAGACACATAGTAGGACCTATGATAAGATCATTGTTAACGCCGCAATACCCAGCAATATTCAAGCTATATGGAGGCGGTGTGTAAAATGACAGACACATAGTAGGACCTATGATAAGATCATTGTTAACGCCTCAATACCCAGCAATATTCAAGCTATATGGAGGCGGTGTGTAAAAGGACAGACACATAGTAGGACCTATGATAAGATCATTGTTAACGCCGCAATACCCAGCAATATTCAAGCTATATGGAGGCGGTGTGTAAAAGGACAGACACATAGTAGGACCTATGATAAGATCATTGTTAACGCCGCAATACCCAGCAATATTCAAGCTATATGGAGGCGGTGTGTAAAATGACAGACACATAGTAGGACCATTGTTAACGCCTCAATACCCAGCAATATTCAAGCTATATGGAGGCGGTGTGTAATTTGACAGACACAAAGTAGGACCTATGATATGATAATTGTCAATGTGCACACGCTGTGTTCACACAATTTTCAAAAATTGTAAGAAAATTTGGCTTCTTTGAGCATTTACATAAAGCATGTCATTAGTTATATAGAGCCTTGTTGATGGTAAGCGACATCAAGATGTTTGAGATGTTTGGTAGATGTATTTCTGTGATAGATATGCAAAAACAAAATCTTATCCCTTGACGATACAACGTAGTATATGAAAGAGTAACGTGTAATATTAAGATAAGAAACCAGTTAGATCACCTTTACTTCCAGTTTCAGAAAGTATCAACATCAACACTGTATCGTTAAAGACTTACCGTCGTATATAAACCAGCACAGCGACAACGACGGCAGCTGAAAGCACCCCTACAACGACACCGACAATAAGTCCAGTCAACGACTGAGCGCCGCCTTCCTTGTTGCCCGTTTGTGATTCTGAGGATGAAGGAACATATTGTTGTAAAAGACTGATATCATAAAAGCCCATCAAATGTAATCTCTAAACATTTAATATTTTTTTTCCGAATTGATTAATACAATGCTACATATTTAAGTTCTTTTCAAAGTTTTGGTTTTGAGGTTCATTGCCTTTTAAAAGAACAAATTATTACCCTTTCTGGAACGCTTATCCTAATTGTTTAAATACTCATAATTCTATATTGCTACATTTGTGAATATCTTTATTACTAATACCTTTCCAAGGTCAAGACAATGTTTAACCGTTTCACTTTCCTAGGATAACATTAACACTAGTTTGCTTTTAACAGCTAAATCGGTTTCAAAATACAAGCGAAACAATGAGCATTTCTGGCATGTTGACGATATAGAGATTATTACAAACGCAAGTTTGTCGTACGACTTATACGAAATGAAGTTTTGTCTCTCGCTCGGGCAATGCATAATTTTGCACGCGTTTCGTATAAATCGTATGGCACACTTGCGAGTGTAATAATGTATTTATCCAATAAAAAATAAGATGTTCACGGCACGAATCTCGGCAGGGATTTCCCCACACTTGGACTCAGCGCGCAAGAATACGAGATTTGGTAAGCTGGATATGTAGGTCAACAAATGTAGAGTGTTAGATGTATACAATTTTTTAACTGAAAAACAATTCCTAACGACAAATTCACGATAGCTGCTATCATTCATAGAAATTCAGAACGGACGTAGTAAATCTTATGAATGAGAAAGTACTTCCCATTTGCGATGTAATGAGGTCATGGTCGAATTCAACCAATCAGTGACAAGCAAAACCACGTGAAGTGATATATGCACTACAGCACGTATTAAACGCATGACCCATTCCAGGTCTCAAGAGATTTTCTGGTTTGTGTAGATCTCTTAATACTCATATACTTTCACATTTTACCGTCTCCTACATCAGTGTAAGATCACATTAGCATGTCTTGTTTCACATCAAGGTCTCAAGAAGTTTGAATATTTTTCCTGTCATTTTCGGTATCATTTTACCATGTAAATAGCTATTTTCCATTCCGAGGTTACACATCTGAGAATTGTTTCATACGTTGAGAAATGCTAGTCTATTAATTAATTCCTTCTTAACAAATCCGTCCGCGTTTTTCATTTTGATGTTCAGAATTTAAAGGTGAACCCACTATATTCTTGTTGATTCCATCAGTTCTTTCTTGCACAGTAGGAAAGTAACGTACGTTAAGTTCCTATGGTCAGTTATGCTTACAAACGAAGAAATACACAAATACATGACCAATATTGATTTCATAAGATTCCAGTAGAAATGATGTCAGCGCACCTGTCACGCACAGATCCCCCTCAAATCCCGGCTCACATCCATGTACACAAGTCCCGTCTGTGTTACTGCATGTCCAGTTTAGACATCTACCACAGGACGAACTGCAATCCTGACCGTAGGTCTTGTTGAAACATCCTGTACACATACATACACAGACTCAACAGTGAAACAACTTTGAATTGATGAAAAGTATCAAAGTAGCAGTTTGTGTTGGCATTGCCAATGTGAAAATGGCAGGGTGAATCAGTGCCTTGTCATTCTGGGGTAAAAGTAACCCTGCAGGTAGTTTGGTTTTCATCATCATCAGGTTTTCAAAACTTTGTCTTTGATGGTGTATTGGATGTTGTGTGGGTGAGGCAGTGAGAACCATAACAAAGAAAATCTCATTGATTTGCAATGTATATGTGGATTAGCGATTAAGTAGACAAGATTCCTCATGAACTGTTTGAGAAGCATCCTAGAGGTTGCAATTAATAGGAATGACAAGTGTTTATGGATGATCAACTTCTTTATTGTATGATAGCGACATTTCGGTAGAGATACCTATACCGTTTTCAAGCTTGAAATAAAGAAGTTGATCATCCATAAAGACTTGTCATTCCTAAGATTCCACATGGAAGGCATCGGATGTATACAAGTCTTTTCTGTGCTGCAGTACTTCTCTCTTGCTTGACAGTTGTATAAGAATCTATACCGAAACGTCGGTAGAGATGACGTAGAGATGGTCATAAATACGGATATTGTCTTTCATTTAACAAGAATAAGCTATGAAATAGAGGAGGATGATTCACTAATCTCACCCTGAGAGCAGAATGGTTTTTCATATCCTACTTGACATCCGTTTTGACAATGGCCGGTCATGCTGTTACACGTTTGTCCATCCTTGCAGTGACCACAGAGGGAGGTGCAGTTGGTTCCATAACTCCCTTGTACGCATTCTTTGAAAGGAAAATGGAAATTTGCTCATGCAGTGTTGCGACCGACGATTCCGATAAATATAGTTGGAAGAGAAAATTGTCATATCTTATCACCATCAATGTTACTGTTTTAATTGGTTACTCGGGACGTAGCGGGGCGGGGTAATGTATGTCTTCTTGTCGGAAATAGTCAGTAATTGTCTGGGTGTGATGTGGTCTGGCATTCTCAACCTGCTGTTTCAAAACATTTCGTCTGTCATGCGCAGTACTGCCCTACAGTATGACACAGTCGCGCCCAAACCGGTAATGGACAAGAACTGTGATCCTGGCATACTATTCGTTGTTACGTCAGCCATCTGTGAACAGTAGGTAAAATGTGCCTTCGTCTCTAAACAGTGCACACAGCCGATCGCTGATGTTGCCGTCCCAGTCTTTGTCACCTATCGTAAGTTGTCATGGTCACATCTTTCGCAGGTATACGGTATTTACACAAAGGGGAACTGTAACCCTGTTGACATCCCAGTGTGCAGTGTCCATCATCCTTATTACAGTCGGACGACCCGCTACACAGACCACACGTGGAGGAACAGTTGATCCCATACTGACCCTGGCCACAATCTGTACAGGTGATAAAGTATGGGACGTAGATCATCGTTCAACGGGAGTCTGTTTTATTTAATATGCACATGAATTATTGATAATTACAGATTATATAATTATATATCCATTAAATATATGCCTAGACAATTTCTTGAATGTAATCTCTTCAAGGTCACTTTATAGGTACATTTTCAAATTTGATTGTTTTCTTGAGTATGACTAACACAGAAACATATGTGTCAACTGAACTGTGTCTGTGTCAAGTGAGGGTGTTTAGTTGGTTGGGAAACAGACTAGCAGAAAAAGGCAAAAGGACAGGGGTGGGGTTTGTCATTTCCCAAGCATTCAGTGACCACATGTGGATTGCAAGCTGTGAAGTACATGTACCAATAGTATTAATTCAGCCTTCCGAATAGGCTTCACACTGATTTCATTGGTTCAGCCTTACATCATTCAATTCGGGAACACTCTACATCTACTTGATGTCATTGTTATGAACATGTTGTCTTAAATAATACACATTGATTGACCGATAAGGGTAAGATTGGAAAATGATTTTAGGTGCTGGTTTCAAGCAAATATACTACATATGTTACTGTTTCTAAAATCAGATTCTCCAAAGTCAGCCTCTACATAAGGACTGGTTCTCTTGTCCATGAAGCAGCGTCATCTCACCATCCTGGCATCGAACCCCTGTCTTCCCAGCACGGCAGCCACTTGTACAGTTCCCTGTGGTCTTGTTGCATACTTCTGTTGTATTTTGACACCTGCACTGCTCACTACAGTTAGTCCCAAACCACCTATCGCTGCACACTGAACATATTCAAGGCCTAATGAGCATTCACATGTGAATAACGGTTGTTGAAAACATTTGAAAAGACTGACTGACTGTCTGAGTTTGGTTTTACGCCACTTTCAGCAATATTCCAGCAACATCACGGCGGGGGACACCAGAAATGGGCTTTACACTTTGTACCCATGTGGAGATTCGAACCCGGGTCTTCGGCGTGACGAGCCAACGCTTTAACCATTAGGCTACCCCACCGCCCCACATTTGAAAACAGGGGCGGGGTCTTGTATTAACCAAACTAAATGCAAAAAGAATACACCTGTATATGCTGTCACAGGCGATAAGTAGCTTAATTTTGGAGTTGCTACAAAGTGTGTAATCATAAGTGTTATTATCAAACTGCAATTAATTCATCAGAAGGGTTTGATTAAAACTCACTTACATTCACAATATGGTTCTTCAAAGTTATCTGCACATCCCAGCACACAGACACCAGTAGTTGTATTGCACGGTGAGTCATCTTTACACGAGCCACATTGTTGTGAACAGTTAACACCGTAGCGTCCTTCTACACAGTCTAAAGTGGAAAGAAATGATATCATTGACGAACAAATAATGAGTTATGAAATACTAAGTTCTAATAAAAACATCAAAGATTCATTTTCATTTAGAAACAATTAAGTTATATTGTTATTGGTGCAACCGTGTTGCGTGATAATCCAGTAGTACTATCAATGTTTCGTTTGTTTGTTGTTTAACACCGCACTCAGCACTATTTCAGCTGTATCGCGGCGGTCCGTATATAAGCGAGTCTGGACCTTACACTCCAGTGATCAACAGCATGCTCATCGATCTACGTAATTAGGATACGATGACATGTGTCAACCAAATCAGCGGGTCTGACCACCCGATCCCGTTAGTGAGTGAGTGAGTTAAAATTGAACGTCACATCGGCAATATTTCACCATATAGTGACGAGAAAAGGTTTACATACAGATTAATTACAAGTAGTTAAATAACCAGTTATCGAAGGACTGTAAAATATCTAGAGTATCACAGATGGTGTCTAAAACTAGCTGGTAAATGTAAAAAGAATTTATTCATGAAGACAATACGATATAAAAATGGGCTATAGATCGCCAGCAACTGAAGGTAGATCACCATACTAAGGACCATGGGGACTTACAGTGCCTTTGCTACCTGCATGGACCCTAGCTGGATTTACACCATCCCCTCAGCCACTGGCAATTGCAGGACAATTTCGTCGAAATTTAAAATAACAAGAATGCTACGTTTTAAAAGATTTTCGTATGTTCAAATTTTACTTTTGGGTCTTCTATGGAAGCGTATTAGGGTCACATAGAAAAAAAATATTATATCCTTAGGACTTAGTATCTCCTAATTAGGACTCAATATCTCCTAATTAGGACTTAAGGATCTTATAAATACGTGTAAAAAAAGTCAATCACTTCTTCCGTCTGGGTTGGTTCACTCACATTGTGCCTACATGACATTCTGCCTACATTCCTAAAAACATATACATGTATAGGGAGTAGCACATTGGCGATGGAAAGTGAAAACATTCATCATCCCCATATCTACATGGTCTGATCCAATTAAGTAAAAGATAAAAAGAACAACATTCAGAGTGCATCATTTATTAAGATGGTAATAATAGCATCAAACGTAGCATTACTTAAAGACACTTTTCCTATCCATCATCTCTACACAAAATATAGTTCATTAGAGACCGCGCTTGAGGAGATGGCTTGCAGCATCAAGGAACTGTAACTTGGGTTTGCGACCTTCATAAGTCTATGCAGCCGACAGTCAATTTCTCTATACAACCGTTTTCTGTGCACTGGAGCTGCACCAAGATCTAGTTGGGCTCTTTTCTTTCTGTTAGCATCCTCAATGCCTTGTAGATGAGAGATGAATTCAAAGACATTGGGATGTGCTTTTCTCGGTGATTTGTTTAATTGGGAATGCCAACCCTCCAAGTCATTGTTCGTACGAGGTACATCGTTACCGAACTGATTCCACATGGACACTTTAAGCATGACATCGTCGTCTACCCAGGTTGTTGTCACATAGTCTGCAAATGTATTCACTTAGGGCTGTTTGGGTCTGTCGTCAAGTGCTTCTATCCAAGCTTCTTGTACCATGTCGATGGGCAAGAGAGGAAGACATGCTGCTGGACGAACTATAGCTTGCACTCCAGCATCTCCCCTGTAGTCTGTAACAAGTCCAATGGTTTGCATTGTTCTGAGCATACATTGGCTGTACTTCTTCGACGGCTTGAACGGCAGGTAATTCAAAGTCTGTTTGGACGATGTCTGGGCTAGGTTCAGCTCCAGATGTAGTCAGGACTACATCTTTGATATGATTAAAGAGTCTTATAGTTTGGCATGAAATGCATGAGGACCCGGTTTTTTGTAAATATCTCTTCATCCAATGATCCAATCGATCTCAAACTGTGCAAGTGGATGTTTTGTCAGACAACCTAATCACATTGTAAATCACCGATTTTATGCATTTGCATTAAAGAATCTGTCTATGTAACTGTCAACAAACTAAACAACAGAACGCAGACGGCTTGCAGAGGGAGGGAGCCAATGACCTGTAACAGCGGCAGTGTTGGGTCATAAAGGTCAACGTTCGTCAATGTAGGTCAGCTGTGCACGTGACAGGTATGAAGAGGTGTCACAGGTCGTGAATAGGGTAAGGTGGGTGCCAACTGTTAACCATCATACGGAGTTTGTTTCTCTGAGTTGTTCAACATTAACCACAAAACCCATTAGTGAGAATTATTCTGTAGGTTAAAATCTTTAAATTTGTAATGTTAATGTCATATTTTGTTTATGCAGTACCTAAGTGGAAATGCATTTAAAGAACACAGAAAGTATATTTACACTAAATCATTAATCGGACCACCTATGGTTAGAACTCAACAACTGTTAAAGCCCCGTTCCCTCGGACACAAGCACACACAATCATGCACACTCATTGAAGAAAAGATAGAATGAAGACAAAAGTGTTATGTTTTGCTGTCGTTCACATTCCAAATTAAGCAATGCATTTATAATAGCTTTAAGCATATAGATAGTTAATATTTATATTTTCATGATAATATTATGTGAAATGAGTGTTTCATGTTACACTATGAGTCGTTGGAATTAGTCAGTGCTGTCATTGTTAAAATAAGTTATATTTCTTTGAGCATATCTGGCTGGATACTATTATTATCCCATTGAACGATAATTGCCCTACAGTCATGAAAGTACACCTTTTGTTTGCCAAACATTCGGGCATCGTGGGACATAAACCTCCCCATTTTTAAGCGAATGTATGAAATTGTATTGAAAATTACTATGCAGGACAGATTTTAGTGTGTAGGAATACTTTATTAAAATCACTTGACAAGGTCATTTTCAAATAAATTATCACCGTTTACAGACATCAGCGCATGTTTTTAATAGCGAGATATTTCACACATCAGAAGGTTGGCAGGACATGTCTTTGCTTCCACTTTGAATAGAGAGTATCGAAATCAGCACGTAATAGCCGATTGTGAAAGATACTCTGTAACATCATTTCTATTAGAATCTGGCAACACATTTAGACAACGGCTGTTGAAAAACGCACTGACGTTTTTAGAAAGCTAATTAACACGATTTACTTGAATAATTACGTCACCCCAAATTACACCTTTTTCCATTCGTGACCAACTCGTGTTATTCCGGGACAAGCCGAATAGCGATTCGTGCACCTCTGGAAGGATTTCATATTGGCGCATGAACATCAGAACTACTTTAAACAGGAACGATAACTTCATTCCTGTTTCATTCCAATGGTACTTAATATCATCGAAGCACTCGTACATTGATGGCTGTTTTTGTTTTTGCTTATATATTTTAAAGAATTATCCATGGTACAAGTAAAATAAAGAGAAATAAAGACATATTCTGTCGTAATTATTATGAGATGTTCATCTAATATTTACAATTATATTTCTGAAAAAGGTTTAATAATCATAAATGGGATTTGTTTTATTGAATATGCAAATGATTTATAAAAAACCCTGCTCATTAAATCTCAAAGCAGAAATGACTTTAAAATATTTCTCAAAGAGGAACATACATGTAACCTTGCTGTCATACCCCAAGTGGAATTAATGAACTCGCTGAAAAATATATGAATGACCCCAAAAATGTCAGACTAAAATATTCCCAGAAATAAACGGACGGGCAAAAGAAATTTTCTCTTCGTTCAATTTGATCTCACTTAAAAACAACAACACGAATTCGAAGTTTGCAATTTATAATTTGTGAAGCAATGACATAGGCACGTGATAAGTACAAACGTTAACAAGGCTGATAACTTACTGAACAGGTTATGGTCGACATGGGGTGAAACTAGAGAATTCACGATCAGTGGGTCCATTCTGGAAACACAGCAAAGCGTGAACAGAAGTCACTTACAGCGAGTTTGTCCACACACGTTTTCTGACTGAAATTGTGAGGCGTTTGATGACGTCAGCTGGGATTCGCCTCCATTCTTCAAGGGCTTGAGTCATTTGCTGTACTGTAACTGATGGATTCTGTCTCCGTTGAATAACTCTATCAAGGTGGTCCCATATGTGCTCGATTGGCGACATGTCGGGAGAGCGTGCAGGCCATGGCAGGACGTTGACGTTGTTGGCGTGAAAGAAGTTCTGGACAACTCGAGCGACCATGTCTGTCTGTCAGCAGCCTCCCTCGGTACAGTCGGTAGACCCTGATACCATAGGCCCGTAGTCTCCTTGACACTATCCTTCGACTCACTGGGTGACCGAGTGCTGTTGACGCTGATGAAGTTACCGTCAGGAAGCGGTTTCTAAGGTGTAACGCCCTCAGGTGGCGGTCTTCCTGCGCAGTTGTCACCCGGGGTCTGCCTGTCTGAGGTCTGACCAGTTTGTTGGTAGCGCCGACGAAGGTTTCTGACGGTCACAACGGAGCAATTGAAGGTTCTTGCAACGTGACCCGTTGTAGCGCCCATTTGCAGCATTCCGATGGCCCTCTCGCGTCATTGTAAAGTGGTTTTCTGCTGAAGTACGATCTGCTCTGTGCTGTGAGATGATTTTATACCATGCATGCACGTGCATTTCACCCTTACTTGCAAAACACGTGCATTTTGCTGTTTTCGATGCAAAGTTGTCAAGAGGTGCGTTTGAGCGCTGATGTTGGTCAGAATCGAACCCTTGTTGTTGGCAATAACTATGGGGCAATTTGCATTTGATTACATTTTCTTATGTTAATATTATGAAAATATTTGCAAGAGAAAGTTACTTTTGCTCATCAGTATACATGCCAAATGATAAAGATTAAAGTTGATTATAGTCAGCAGTGAAAACGTACCGATGAATTTCACTATAAACAAAAAGGTAAATCGAATAAAGTGATATTAAGATTGCGAATCCTCATAATTTTACCTTTCCAATTGAACATTCAAATCTCAGAATTTTATTCAACTTAGGATGAAAGTTGTTTCAAATCGCTATTATTGGTTTGCATTACAAGGGGGTATGCACTTGAAATGAAACACCGAGAACAAGTAGTGTTGGTTTAAGTTAACGCTCATTACGTACGGCATGTGCATTTGTTTCACTGTTCCATCTACTGCGCTCACCCCCTTGTAATACAAACCAATAATAGCGATTTGAATTTATCACTGCACTGCACGTTTTCACTGCACACAGACTATAGTTACATATATAGTCAGAAATACACTCAGTTGAACCAGTGTGAGCCGTTATGTAAACAAACGCACGTTCGTGTATTTGAATCTCTCACTGTCAATCGCATCATTCTTATCAAGCTTCACATTAGACAGCACAATTCAGTTAGCTACGTTCTTAGTACTTTCAATATGACGATATATATTTTTCATGATTTTGTTGACAATAACATTATGCCATAAACGATTTAAGTAGTCGGGATTATTTTTATCAAAGCACCGCAACCATTACGCGTTTGTCGTATTTTCGCACATAACAAGCTTCGAGACGGGGACGAGTTCTTCTTGGAGGTTACGGAAAGGGGCGAGTGGTGACAAAAGACATTTTTCGTCAGTAACATATATTTCTCACCTTTACACAAAGGGGGCGGGTAACCTGTTTGGCATCCCTGTGTGCAGTGTCCATCATCCTTCTTACAGTCGGACGACCCGCTACACTGACCACACGTGGAGGAACAGTTGATCCCATACTGACCCTGGACACAATCTGTACAGGTGATAAAGTATGGGACGTACATCAACGTTCATTCAGTCTGTTTTTAAACACATGAATTGATAATTACATTTTAAAAGATTTTATGTCCAATAAAAATTTACCTGTCAACCTTCTTGCTCCTCACAGACAGTTTTTCGTTGTCCGGAGTAATAATGTCCATCATATTGTGTGCGCTTAGAGCATGCCAATGCGATGTGAAGATCAGCGCTATAAGAGGTCTTATTATGAGGGGAAAATATTTGAAGGTGTTCTAAGCAAATATGTCCCACCCATTATGTTTCAAATATCGTTAGAGCATACATAGATATAGCAAATCAACTTCTACTTAATGTATGTTTCTCTCATCCATGAAGCAGTTTCATCTCACCATCCTGGCATCCAACCCCTGTCTTCCCAGCACGGCAGCCACTTGTACAGTTCCCGGTGGTCTTGTCGCATACTTCTGTTTCATTCTGACACTTGCACTGTTCACTACAGTTGTTGCCAAACCACCAATCATTGCAAACTGAAAATATTCAAGGCCTCAGTAAGCATCCACATGTGAATAACCTATGTCGTTCCTTCGGAGAAAACAACAAACATTTGAAAACAAGGGCGGGGTCTTGTATTAACCCAAACTAAATACAAAGAGAATACACGTGTATATGCTGTCGCAGGCGATATGTAGCTTAATTTTTGAGTTGCTACAAAGTATTCAATCATTAGTGTTATTACCAAACTGCAATTAATTCATCAGAAGGGTTTGATTAAAACTCACTTACATTCACAATGTGGTTCTTCAAAGTTATCTGCACATCCCAGCTCACAGACACCAGAAGTTGTATTGCACGGTGAGCCATCTTTACACGAGCCACATTGTTGTGAACAATTAACACCGTAGCGTCCTTCTACACAGTCTAAAGTGGAAAGAAATGATATCATTGACGAACAAATAATGAGTTCTGAAATACTAAGTTCTAATAAAAACATCAAAGATTCATTTTCATTTAGAAACAATTAAGTTATATTGTTATTGGTGCAACCGTGTTGCGTGATAATCCAGTAGTACTATCAATGTTTCGTTTGTTTGTTGTTTAACACCGCACTCAGCACTATTTCAGCTACATCGCGGCGGTCCGTATATAAGCGAGTCTTGACCTTACACTCCAGTGATCGACTGCAAGCTCATCGATCTACGTAATTAGGATACGATGACATGTGTCAACCAAATCAGCGGGTCTGACCACCCGATCCCGTTAGTGAGTGAGTGAGTGAGTTAAAATTGAACGTCACATCGGCAATATTTCACCATATAGTGACGAGAAAAGGTTTACATACAGATTAATTACAAGTAGTTAAATAACCAGTCATCAAAGGACTGTAAAATATCTAGAGTATCACAGATGGGGTCTAAAACTAGCTGGTAAATGTAAAAATAATTTATTCATGAAGACAATACGATATAAAAATGGGCTATAGATCGCCAGCAACTGAAGGTAGATCACCATACTAGGGACCATGGGGAATTACAGTGCCTTTCCTACCTGCATGGACCCTAGCTGGATTTACACCATCCCCTCAGCCACTGGCGATTGTAGGAAATTTTAGCCGAAATTTAGAATAACAAGAATGCTACGTTTTAAAAGATTTTGGTATGTTCAAATTCTACTTTGAAAGTTTTGGGTCACATAGGAAAAACATATTATCTGCTAATTAGGACTTAGTATCTCATAATTAGGACTTAAGGATCTTATAAATACGTGTAAAAAAGTCAATCACTTCTTCCGTTTGGGTTGGTTCACTCACATTGTGCCTACATGACATTCTGCCTACACTCCTAAAACATATATAGGGAGTTGCACATTGGCAATGGAAAGTGAAAACCATGTCTTTATGGTCTGATCTACGGAAGCGCTGAAGGGACCTCATAAAATAAAAATTATCTTGAGCGCACAAGTTAATATCTTGAGCGCTCAAGTTAGTTATCTTGAGCGCATAAGTTAATATCGCACAAGTTAGTATCTTCTTATATCTTGAGCGCACAAGTTAATATCTTGAGCGCACAAGTTACTTATCTTGAGCGCACAAGTTAGTTATCTTGAGCGCACAAGTTAGTATCTTGAGCGCACAAGTTAATATCTTGAGCGCACAAGTTTATCTTGAGCGCACAAGTTAGTATCTTGAGCGCACAAGTTAATATCTTGAGCGCACAAGTTAATATCTTGAGAGCTCAAGTTAATATCTTGAGCGCACAAGTTAGTTATCTTGAGCGCACAAGTTAGTATCTTGAGCGCACAAGTTAATATCTTGAGCGCACAAGTTACTTATCTTGAGCGCACAAGTTAGTTATCTTGAGCGCACAAGTTAGTATCTTGAGCGCACAAGTTAATATCTTGAGCGCACAAGTTAGTATCTTGAGCGCACAAGTTAGTATCTTGAGCGCACAAGTTAATATCTTGAGCGCACAAGTTAATATCTTGAGAGCTCAAGTTAATATCTTGAGCGCACAAGTTAGTTATCTTGAGCGCACAAGTTAGTATCTTGAGCGCACAAGTTAATATCTTGAGCGCACAAGTTAATATCTTGAGCGCACAAGTTAGTATCTTGAGCGCACAAGTTATCTTGAGCGCACAAGTTAGTATCTTGAGCGCACAAGTTAGTATCTTGTGCGCACAAGTTAATATCTTGAGCGCTCAACTCCGTGTTTAGCATCTAATGGCATTAATGGAACGCACATTTGCTTGACTGCTGGCTAAAATGTACAAACTTATATCCTTTTTGGAAGATTTCAAACGATGCAAAGTCGGAGTTAACTATAGGTGTTTATGATGAGACTATGTAAAAGTATGCAAATGTATCATGAACATTGATAATGTTTATCATGTAAACGTTCATCGTCTTTATGCTTGTCAATACTATTCTTTGTATCTGATTTTACCACTTTTTGCTTTATTACATAAAGCAGGCCTAGGTATGTGTCATGTCATAATAAGAATTAAAACATAAACATGAGTAGGAGTTTATTGCAGGGATGAATAGTGGTTTTACTTACTTCTTATATTGGTACATAGAATTATGAACACTTGGATAACTTGTTTTTTGCTACGGCTTTATTATGTATATATATTATTACATGACCATGAAAAATGTAAACATTGAGTGTTATACTTAATTATCTTAATTATAAAACTAATGTCTGATGTATTGGAAGTAAAGTCGACCACTTTCAGGGAACTATAGTCTGTAGTCTTGGTTTGCATGTATCAGTAATGTTTCCTAACGTGGGTACAATGGCAGTTTAACTCTGTACAATATCATTTAAAACCCGCCTGATTTATTTGATCCATTAGTATGTGCACGTATAGCATATATACCGACTTTATTTCTTACTAAAATACCGTGTTCCCCGTTTCACTTCTTCCGTATCAATCCCTTATGTATACGTATGTGTGTTGTAGTTTATTTAACATGTTTTAACAACACAGGAAGTTGAAGAATAAAGACGTCGATGAAGACAGTGTCCTGAGCGAAATTCAACACCATTCGGGTCCAACAACGACCGTACAGTATCCTGTTTCACGATTAAACCGCATTGAATACATTTTGATGCATCAACGATAACCATGTCTTTGTTCAGATCGTCGAAGTCGTCCGCAATAAAGTATGTAACATCAGCGCGGCGGTGGGGTAGCCTCGTGGTTAAAGCGTCCGCTCGTCACGCCTGGGTTCGATTCCCCAACCTGGGTACAATGTGTGCAGCCCATTTCTCGTGTTCCCCACCGTGATATTGCTGGAATATTGCTAAAAGCGGTGTAAACCGTATTCACTCACTCACTGTAACATCAGCAAATCTGGTATCTGGTACGAGAGAGAGGGACATACACCTCAGAATACGCTTCAAGTGGCGTACTATACTATACCCTGAGTTTTGACAAGAAGATGTGTTATGTGTTTGTATTGGAACCCAAAGACTGAAATAAGCATGAATCAGTTCGCGTTTCCGCTCCTCCTTGCTTCCACATGAACTGCTTATGAAGCAGTGTATCTCAATATATACTAAGTTGAGCGCTCAACATACTAACGTGTGCGCTCAAGATACTAACTAACTTGTGCGCTCAAGATACTAACTTGTGCACTCAAGATAACTAACTTATTGCTCAAGATACTAACGAGGCGCTCAATATATTAACCTGTGCACTCAAGATAACTAACTTGTGCGCTCAAGATATTAACTTGTGCGCTCAAGATATCTAACTTATATGCGCTCAAAGTATATATACTAACTTGCGTTGATGTATCAAAAAATGTATCCAATGCGGTTTAATCGTGAAACAGGATACCTGGTACGGTCGTTGTTGACCCGAATGGTGTTGAATTTCACTCAGGGCACTGTCTTCATCGACGTCTTTATTCTTCAACTTCCTGTGTTGTTAAAACATGTTAAACATAAACTACAACACACATACGTATACATAAAGGGATTGATACGGAAGAAGTGAAACGGGGAACACGGTATTTTAGTAAGAAATAAAGTCGGTATATATGCTATGCGTGCACATACTAATGGATCAAATAAATCAGGCGGGTTTTAAATGATATTGTACAGAGTTAAACTGCCATTGTACCCACGTTAGGAAACATTACTGATACATGCAAACCAAGACTACGAACTATAGTTCCTGAAAGTGGTCGACTTTTACTTATCAATACATCAGACATTAGTTTTATAATTAAAGATAATTAAGTATAACACTCAATGTTTACATTTTTCAGAGTCATGTAATACTATATATACATAATAGCCGTGGCAAAAACAAGCTATCCAAGTGTAATACTATGTACCAATATAAGAAGTAAGTAAAACCACTATTCATCCCTGCAATAAACTCCTACTCATGTTTATGTTTTAATTCTTATTATGACATGACACATACCTAGGGCCTGCTTTATGTAATACAGCAAAAAGTGGTAAAATCAGATACAAAGAATAGTATTGACAAGCATAAAGACGATGAACGTTTACTATGATAAATATTATCAATGTTCATGATACATTTGCATACTCTTTACATAGTCTCATCATAAACACCCTATAGTTAACTCCGACTTTGCATCGCTTTGAAAATCTTCCAAAAAAGGATATAAGTTTGTACATTTTAGCCAGCAGTCAACAAATGTGCGTTCCATTAATGCCATTTGATGCTAAACACGAAGTTGAGCGCTCAAGATATTAACTTGTGCGCACAAGATACTAACCTGTGCGCTCAAGATACTAACTTGTGCGCTCAAGATGTTAATCTGTGCGCTCAAGATACTAACTTGTGCTCTCGTGCTCAAGATATAATAACTTGAGCACTCAAAGATATTAACTTGTGCGCTCAAGATAACTAACTAACTTGTGCGCTCAAGATAAAATAACTTGTGCTCAAGATATTAACTTGAGCGCTCAAGATAAGTAACTTGTGTGCTCAAGATACTAACTTGTGCGCTCAAGATAACTAACTTGTGCGCTCAAGATAAGTAACTTGTGTGCTCAAGATATTAACTTGAGCGCTCAAGATAAGTAACTTGTGTGCTCAAGATATTAACTTGAGCGCTCAAGATAATTTTTATTTCATGAGGTCCCTTCAGCGCTTCCGTACTGATCCAATTAAGTAACAGATAAAAAGAACAACATTCAGAGTGCATCATTTATTAAGATGGTAATGATAGCATCAAACGTAGCATTACTTAAAGACACTTTTCCTATCCATCATCTCTACTCAAAATATAGTTCATTAAAGACCGCGCTTGAGGAGATGGCTTGCAGCATCAAGGAACTGTAACCTGGGTTTGCGACCTTCATAAGTCTCTGCAGCCGACAGTCAATTTCTCTATACAGCCGTTTTCTGTGCATTGGAGCTGCACCAAGATCTAG